AATTCAGGTGTGATGTTGAAAGTTAAGCAGATTTACATTATTTTCACATACGAAATGACACGAGACATACTAAATAGTATAGATAGATTGTTATTAAGATCTTTATGTGTTATTGCTTGAAAAAATTTAAGCAATTCAAATTTGAACTCAAATGGGGGGGGGGGGGCTATTATTAACAACGTTTGTATTGTTGACATCCGTCGACATTTTTCGCTAAAAATCTCAATTTTTTATAAATAGGAGTAAAAGTGCTTTTTGCAGTAAAAGAACCCAAATAAAATTCGGCATCATGCGTTTGAAATATTTCACATCACCTTTATCGTTGAAGTGTTGAATACACTGTAGGTATAGTTACTACCATTTAGCAGTAAAAAATAAAAAAGTGAATATAAAATATTACTACGACATTAATAATCAAGCATTTCAAAATGTCGATCATTTTGAAAATATTAGTTTATTTTCTTTTGTGGTAGTATAATAAATAATAATTGTTAAGAATACTATTGTATAGCTATAGTTGCTACGCCGTCAATTTTTTTAAGGTATAGGTAGGTAGTAACTGGTCCGGCTTAAGAGGTAGGCGACATAAGCCCGACGCCTAAGGTGGCACATCTTTACTCTTTAGTAGGGGTGGCATTTTCAAAACAGTGACAATATTATTATTTTACTTGCTGCAAAATTTGATTTTACTGAGTGCACAATTTTTGCTGAAGCCCTAGGTAAAATAAAATATGAAATGATACCTCAGTATCTCACGATATCCCTCAGACCTCAGTTATAAAATATTGCCATAACAGCAAAGTTTTAGTAGGTTATATTATTTTTCATACAATTTGGTTGAATACAGAATACATAAACTAGGTATATAAAGGTAAGTATAGCTATGGCATAGCCGCATAGGTGAAAATCTATTAAAATTTCAAGGGGCTAACATTTTTAACATCAATCTGAGCCTTGGGGGCTCTGATCCCACACAACTAAAAAGCTGTTTTTCTTTTTTTTTTGCGGGGGGGGGGGAGAGAAATGGAATATTTAAGGGCTTTAGACCCCTCCTCCTCATTTTGCCTATGAGCTATGGTACAGCACCTACAAATGTAACTGTTTAATATAATATATACATAATTTATTGATTATATTTATTATTTACTGTATATTACAACTTATAGGTACTAAATAATTTAAAACAATACTAATATAACTTATAAGATTAATTTTATTTTTTAAGAATAACTTAATTAATACTTTACTGATAAGTGTCACCTTACTAATGCCTTTACTATAAATTATAATTATAGGAATTTATTTACTAATTGATGAATTAGTGTTGATAGTTATTCATATATTAGCATACCTTTATTAGTTAAGAGTTAATACTTTCAATTTACCTATATGCATACTAGCATACTAACTATAGACAACTAATTCCTATATAGTACCTACTAAGTACTAACTATAATACAAACAATTATTGATATAAGTATTCAATAGTAATAAATAATAATAATAATAATAATAATAATAATAATGATAATAGTGATTAATGACAAACAGACAACTTAATACACCAAACTTTTACTAATTAATAAATAAATTATACCTACATTTATTATCATGTTTATTTACACACAATAGGTATAGCAGTAGGTACATAATATAGTAATAAATCAGAAAATTCAAGAAACAAAAACTTTTCTATATTCTTAAATTGACAATTCATGAAGTCTGTACTCTCTAGAGTTATTAAAATATTATTAATTTAAGCTAATAGTTTTTATAAAATTACAATTATAATTGAATTACAATTAAAACTTTTCATAACACATTTAAGTAAAATTGTTTGTAGGTACCTATTTAAACATTTATAATTTAAACGTCCGTCAAAACGATGAGAATATTTAAATTTTATTATTTTAACTACATATTATTATATTAAAATAAGCATATGTAATGTATGCATATAAAACGTGTGTTATAATTTAATAATATAACATACAATTTAGGTACCTATATACTATAATATACTATATACCTACTATATAAACATATATAAAGTATAAATGTATAATTTAAGATTTAAATATAAAGCAGTCACCTACATTAAATCGAGTATAATATCGTATAAATCTTACCAGTCAAAATCACGGTATAAATCGTCAACATTACTAAACACTTGTCTATTACGCGAGTAAAATACAAGAATAAAACATACGAGTATACGACACCAACCACTGCTTAGAACTGACTGACCGACTATTAATCCGCTCGGTTTGGTTGCTCAGCCATGGCTAGTATAGGTAGTTGTTTGTTTACCTAACATCATTTTTTTTTACATCTCGCACTATTTAATGGTGTTAATATGGTACATTTTACTCTACTGTCATTGGATTGTAGTTTAATATTATTATTACATGTAGATTATTATGTATATATTTAGTTAATATCAAAGACAAATTAGGTAATACTTTAATCTATAAACAAATAATGCTTCAAAAAATTTAAATATAGTAGTATAGTAATATTTCAAGTAGTTTTGTAATAATTTACCTGAACGATAACTTAAGCATATTGTTCACTGCATCATTTACTTATATTTTTAAATTATCGACATATAGATTCAAAGATCATTTTTCAACGAAACGAGAAACTAAACGCATTTGCTTTAAAATCGGCTGTAAATACTAAACAACGTTACCTATAAGTTTCAATAATCCAATTCAACATAAGTTATAATTTAAATTTGCCTGGCGATTATAATTAATTATTCGATCGAGATAAAAGTGTACCTATTTTTAACTTAGTGTATGTTAAAATATAATTAATTAAACTTTTAATTAAACCCACATAATAAATATTTTAGTATTTGATATACTGCTGTGCATAATGTGAATTATGCCTATAAAATATTCTTATACATAAAATTGATGTAACAAAAAAAATAGAGCTATTATGATAACCAACGTCACTAAATATAGCAATATACTATTTATATAATATTATTAAATTAGTTTTTATTCATGCTAAACAAAAATAAAGTAGGTAAATAAAAAAAAGTTATAATTAATCGTACACCATTTATATAACTTTATGTCTTTACGATAGGTACCTACGCGTAAAAATATATTTAATAATAGAAATTTCAATCATATTGCAGGTATACCTAAGTAACTACATAAAATACAATAGGTAGGTACATACAATTTTTAAAATAGACTAAAATGTTTATTAACAGATAAGGTGAAGGAGCTGAAAAAATTCTTAAAGATAACTTTGGCACAAAAATTAAAATGTTGCAAACAGTACTTTTGGCAGGCACCAATGAACGTATTTTTTATAACCAAGCAAAAACAAATACAATATGAGACATGATCTCATGTCTCAACTCATAAGTCATATTTGTGTTATAAATTGCTGGTACATTATTAATTATAAAATCCAATTTTAGTTTATATAAATACCTACAATGATATTATGTAAAATAATGATATAATAAAATCCAAAATTCCAAACATGTGATAAAGAGGTTGAATATTTTGAAAATTTTAATTATTTTCTAAAATATTTGGTGCTTAGTAAATGTCGAGTGAGTTACTGCAATGCAGTGGCGATTGACGAAGCGTCAAAGGAAAGGAGACAGCGTCTACCCACAACCCACTATCTAAGTGAGGATAAATAATTTGTTTTTATTTTATTTGAATAAAACATTCATTTTCTAAATTTGAATGTCATTATAGAATATATGTCAGTAATGTTGTATGTAATAATATTTGTCAGAAATTTGTTTTTGTACCTAATACTGTTTTAGTGTTCCAGTACTATTCTTACTTCTTAGAATTGTAGACTATTTGTGGGTCGCACGCGCGAGCTGGCAGTGCCCGGCGTGGCGGATCAATCCAATAAACATTTAAGTACAGTATATAAATATAAATAATATAATATATGAGACCACGTCTCATTCTTCCGGGTGCTGTGTTCAGGGGGAATTGGAAACGGGTAGAGGTTATTGTTGAGCTGTGAGACGGTTCTAGCCGTTCATATTTTAGTTTTATTTTAGGTACACATTTGAATAATATTGTAAGTTATTTACGATATCACCGATTATATCCTGAGCTCAGCGATGAATGTATTGATTTTACAATGATTTGTTTTGGGTTGGTTTACACGATTAGTAGTCGAAATAATGCTTCGATTTTCAACTTCAGTATCACTTCCGATGGGAAATTCCCAGTAGATTTCAAATCCAAAAGCGTAAGGGGACAAAAAGCTGTTAAGTGGGTAACATTCTGCTGTACATTAGCCATTAAGTGTCTAGAGATAGTCATTATAATGGATGTGATAAATTTGAACTAAATGATGTAAAATCATTGTATACAAAAAACGATTCTGAGCGAAGATGATCGGTTGGCCCATAATATTACTATATGAGTATCTAGGTATAATTATATTTCATACCCACAACGACATTTTTAAATGCAATTTTAATAAATGAATTTAACCTACCTACTGTATATACTGTAGATGTGTGCTAACACAGAATAGATTAAATTTAATCTATTCTGTGGTAGGTACTAATGCCTTACAGTAAAATAAATTACTTTAATCACAATAATATCATTAAATATACCTACTGACTACTAATTAATATTATTAGCTAAGAGACCGTCTCAGCTCAGAATCATTTTTCTTAGAATACAATGATTTTACATTTACCATACTGACCACTGACGAGTACAATGCGTTGTCAATGCCCCAGAACGTTATAAATTATAATAAATATTAAAATAAAATATTAAATAGAAGCGACGCTCAATCAGCTGATCAGGTTCTTGTTTCCCTGTGGTCTGAAGTACGTGCCATTATTCTGTGGTTCCATCGAAATACGAATAGCGCAAAATAACCCACGGGAATCACGGACCAAGATATTATACCTTACCCAAGGTATATCTTAGTCCGTGACGGGCATAAAACGAACTATAATATAGGAGATAATATTAACTATTAAAGATAATAATATTTATATTATTATTTGGAGGCTATTATAAGTTGTAACAAAATAATATTATTATCTTAAAACTTTTATTGTTTAAAATTTCAATCGTTGTCAGTGGACTATTGTCTGTCCAAAATCTACTAATCTAGTCATCAAAATTATAAGAATTAAATAAAATGTTTAATTTATAACTTTCAATTTTTATTTAATCGAATTTGAATGTTGCCTATATATCTCTAAATAAATATAACAAGTAATTTTTTTTGATCTACCCACTGAATATTAAAATTATTAAAATTGTATAATGAATGTTGAAGTAAGACGTGAAGCGAGACGCAGAAGAATATTAGAGAATTCACAAGTTAGACTTAAAAAAATTACATCCATAATTTCTAACCCAAGTATATTAAATGAATCAGAATTTATAAAAGACAAACCAGGTAAAAATATTTTTTTAGCTGTTTTAGATTAATATTAATTTTTTATGTAATTAAGATTGAAAAATTTTTCTCTAATTCTTCCTTTTTATTTTATTTTAAAATGCAAAAATCTAACTTTTTATTGTTATAAACTTATAGCAGAACATCTGTATTTTATTACTAACCTTGAAATAAAAAGATTCATGATATATCGAAAAACTGAAAGTAGCTCTTTGGCTCACTCTTTAATTTATGTATCTTAATAAATTCCAAAAATTTAATTTACGATTTTTTTCAGAAAATTGTACGCGGAATTCTGAATTGCTCGATTCTCCTGTTCCACAATGTCTTAAAGAAAATGTGATACCAACAGTTCTTGAGAACCAACAAGTTTTCAACTATGAACAAAATCATTTCAATCCAAAATTACATTCCAAAGATATTAAATATGAAATTAAATGTTCATCTATTACAATCTTACATATTGTATTATCTCAAATTGTTTTAGTATTATTTTACTATGACTTAGGATTTTTATTTGGCAATGTAAGTAGTATAATATAATTGAATATTAAAATAAATGTTTCAATTGTACTATAAACATAAAAGTTCTGTTTATAATCCGAGAGGATAAATAAACTGTTAATTTTAAATAGTTATATTTCTTCCCTTGATACTCGGTGTCATATAGTTTGATTAAAAATTGATATTATATTTTAATATATTTTTTTTTATCATTTTTTAAAATATTTATGAAACAATATTATTATCCTAAGTTGCTGATATTATATTATTTACTATTTATGACACAATATTGCTTTATTCAAATATGTGAATCTATTATTTTTTATAAACACTTAACATTTTGAAACTATAAATAATCTATCACCTCAAATTTAACATTTTTTGTAGGTTTTTTTAGTGCGTCTTAAAATTGTTTGGGTATTATATATCAGTACATTTTCAGCTTGTCTTTATGTTTTATGTGTAATTTCAAGTGTGTTTCATGTTACTAACACTATTAACTTATTTTTTAATAAGTGAAATACCTATTACTTTTAAAGAGTTACTTTCTACAATAATACATTTTTAGTCCAGCCCTACCTCCACTAAATTCTTAAAAGTAGAACTAGAGTTTTTATATTTTGAATGTAAAAATGATAAGTGTCCATTTTTCCAGTTAGTTTGACCCCTACATTGTTTTCATCTACAGCCTTGATGATAGTATGATATATTGGCCATTAGATTGCATTAATACAAACAAGGCTAGACTCAGTCTTTGTTTATACATAATTAATACAATTTGACATTATTTCATATACTTATAATTAGCTAACTATTATATTGATACTGTATATTTATTTTATATTATTAATATTTATACATTTGATTTTTTCTAGTCAATAGTAGTGCCATTTCTCCTCAGTGCAATACCTGAATTATATACATCAAAAGAACAACATGATAATGTACATATAATTGTGTTATTAATGTTGGGGTTTTCACAGAATTTGGCAAGAAATATATCTAGATATCTCAAATTGGCAAGCATAACAGGAAAAAGATTTTGTGTATATATTTTTTGTTTTACATGTTCATATGCAATATTCACTAATCTATATTTTGATGTTAAAAATTCTTTACAATAACCAATTTATGTTTTGAATTTTTTTTTCACATTTGTATTAATAATTATAATGTACCACAATATGTTGGGTTTAAAATGTTGGGTCAGTGGAATATATATTTGAAAGTTTTTAGTTGTAAGGTTAGGTTTTTTTTAGCAAATTGTTGTTACATAATATTATAATTTTTCAATATAAACGTTGATACTTGAATAAAATCAATTGCATTAAATTCCACTTACGAAAAGTGTCTTAAGTTATTCTTACAATTTAGTTGTATGCCTACTCGCAAATATTAATTCAACACAAAAATTCTAATTTGCTTAATCAAACTGTAGTTGCAATTTTTAAATTATAATACTTTATGCCTTTAAATGTGTTTTGATAATTGTACGTAAATGTTAACTCCAAATAGTGAAATTGAGGTTTTCATGAACTTTACTTTGATTTTATTTTTAAATAAGGTTTGTAGGTATCCAATAAAACTAGTTCCTCTATTATTTCTTAGGTCATAAATTAGTGTACAACTTTAATCCTGAAAATGTTGATAGTCATTACACTCAGTTATGAAGCTTTCTGTTGAACAAGTTTACAACTGTGAAGTGTTCAGAGATATGCTTTTAACTTCCACAGTGTATTAACAACAATAGTACTTGTTCTCAACTGCAAAACTGCTTTTTCCCATTGTTGATGAATCATTTTTATTGATACAGAGTGGATTAAGATTTGAGTGACAATAAATTAAGTATTAGCGGTAGGTAGGAGTAAACAAAATTGGCCAAGTAATAATAGTACATAAAAAATAGATAATAATTATAAAGAAAAATAATCAACATGTGCAAGAATTAAAATAGATTTTTTTATTGTACTTAATGAATACCATTCAATTAATTATAATTATAATTATACTAGTATTCAATATGATTTGGGTATCATTTATTTTTGAAATGAATATTTTCCTGAAAAATATTCTGACAAATACCTTGCTTAAATAATAATGAATGTACAAAAAATATTATTTATAAATTTAACTAATGTTAATTTATTAATTTTATATTAGTTTTTTTTTAACGCCATTTCAATTTGATAAGTTTCACAATGCAATAACCTCAATTATTTTTAAAAATTATTAAATATAAACTTACTTATCTTAAAATAAAGTAAAACTTTAGTAATTGGTATAATATTCAAACATAAATGAGTTAAACTATTAATTACTTAAATGATGGTGGTTTTCTAGGTTCAATACTTTCTTTTTCTTTATCTTTTAATTCAAAAAGCTTATGTATACCTTTTCGTAAAATCACAAAATTATAATCTATAATTCCTAGGAATAAAAAAAAAATGTTAAAAAAATTACTTTATTTTTTATACTCTATAAAGACAAAATGTATGGCATTTTGTAACTCACTTTGTTTTTCAAAGTTATCTTCTCTTAGTATGCATACAAGTGCCAAAAAACTGCACACCTCTCTTAAATATAAAATTGTACCATTATTTAATTTAATTAGACTTGAACTTTGATCATCGAAAGCTGGATCATTCATTAATCCTGGGTTTTCTCCCAAACTAAAAAGTAAAAACATTTAAGCATTGAACACATTTTAATAAATTAAATCCTTAAATTATGAACCCATAAATATTTGATAAGTCTATAACAACATCAATCATATCACAACATAGTTCATAACTTTGAATATCAACCGGTGATGAATCAGTTGCTACATATATTTTAGTTTTTACATCATATAAAAATGCTTTTTCAATTCCAGATGTCTGAAATAAAATTATTTACTAAATTAATGTACAAAAGAAGTATTTATATTAATATTACTGATATAATGATGTTTAGAAAATTTTCAAGAGTTGCATAGTGAGGAATCATTTTTTGCACAACTCTACTAAATGCTTCAAATATGCTATGATCATAAATTGACGTCAAATGGAAACTAATATATATTTTTTGTTCATCTCCTAAACATAAAAAATAGTATTTGTTTCAATGTCATGAGTTGATAAAACATTTCATTAATATGGCTGTTAACTTTCACAATAAAATCATAGTTAATATTCTAAAAACTACCTGAGTCTACAAGATCATCATTAGCTCTTTGGTGGATTTCTCGTTGAGTTTCCATTTTAGTATCTTCTGTGAGTCCATCCACTTTATGAATAAAAACTTCAAATTTTATATTCTTATTTATTTTGTAAGCTTTTGTTACAACTGAATGTAAACGATTAAGCGCACTAGCTATAGCATCCTTAGAAAGAATGAATTTACAAAAATAAATTAATTTACAATAAATTAATCTTATAAAATATAAATAATCACATATTTACTTGAGCATCAATCACAAATACAAGTGATTGGCATCCTTGAAGTATAGATTGTACATCATATTCAGAATCAGAGAAGTCAAAGTGACCAGGAAAGTCACAAATTTGGAAATTCACAAATGCTGAATTATTAACAACATCTTTTAGCATTGAATTATTACTTCCGATAAATAAAGTTTCATTAGGTGACATTTTTTGAAAAACTACTTTCTGTATTGAAGTTTTCCCACTCCTTTAAAGTTGGATAAATGTTAATCAAAGCATGTACATCAAATTATACAATAATTTACCCTCTTAAGCCCATGAGTACAAGTCTTGGTAAATCGTCTCTATCTGATTCTGTATCTTCATCTGATATAAATTCATTAAATTCATAGTGTTTAGGTAATGATCCAATATCAAAAGTAGTGCTAAATGTTTCATCCTCATTTCTATTAAATGACTAGGGAAATAATTTTATAAGATACAAACTGATAAATGAATTAATAATTTTAATAAAAGTTAATATTTTAATTATTCTATATTTAGAATAAAATTGCATTAGTTATATTAATTTTTAATCCTCATACATTTACAACAACTGCACAAACACTATTTTTCGGTAGGTACTTACACTTATTGTATTTTTAAATTTAATGTTATAATATTAAAGGTGAATTAGTGTTATAAGATTAATATGTATTCACTATAAGATTAACTTCGTCCACTACAAGAAAGAGATAAATATTAATTTAAAATGACTTGCGGGCATGTACATTTTTTAACAAAGAAATGGTATAATTGTATGTTTGTGATTTTGTGTAATTTTTATGCTGATAGACAAAACGTCTCTATTTCTTAAAAAAATAATATTGCAGATAAATAAAAGCACAATAAAATATGTAGGAATTATAATTTTTTCCACATTTTAGAATGTATGGTTTAATTTTAGAGCAGACCATTATCTTACACTTATATTATTGATCTAAAAGTATACTAATTAGATGCCTCTTAATTTATTGTTACTTAGCTAATTATAAAATACAACTTCATTTTTATAGTTAAAGGACCTAATGATGCCTCTAAAAATCTGTACATACATAAAGGTTTATGACTAAAAATCTACATCCTAACTAATACATTATTTATGAAATTAATAATTTTTAAAATCAATGTAGGATTTAGAAGAGCAATGTTGTACTTGAAAATTAAAAATTGAATAATTATATAATTGTTTAAGTATAATTTAAATATAATTAAGCTGTTGATTTTACAAAAATACTTGAGTATACCAAATATTTAAAAATATTTCAATTGCATACATACCATGATAAATTAATACAAGACAAATTAGTTTTTCAAATATAATACTAAATGGTAGAACTTAGAAACACTAATTAACTATTAAAAATATTTTATATCATTGAAATTTTATTTTAAATTGTTGACTTTAATGATGTAGGTATCTAATAATATAGATACTAAATTTAGGAATTATTTTAACTAAAACGAGATTTTAAAGTTATACTTGCGCATTACAACAATTGTACGAGACCTACAAGTTAGACCTACAAGTTAGACGTACGATTTTCGGAATTTAGAATTTCGGACATAAGATAATAATATTATATCGATGTTATCAATTATTTTTCATTGTTCAGGCAAATGTGAAATGGGTATGTTTACAACTACCACAGACTTCTATACTATAATAGTATAGAAGTCTGTGACAACTACTAGTGTTATCACAAAATTGTTGATTACTTATTCATCGGCAGTCAGCTCAATAATCATTTTGTCTGTGACTTCAGATCCCATTGTCGATTGACCATTACTATGACTTATAAGTTATAAGTATTGAATTTGAATACGGAATACGGACTTGAGTTGTTTATGCCTTGTGGTATTTATAATATAAAATTATCATTGAATAAATTCTAAATAAATAAATAATTTAATTTAAATTTAAAACAAATGAATAATAATTTCACCTATTCTGCGCTATTATTATTATAGAACATTGTTCTAATGTTCTATGTTATTATTGGTTTGTTCTTTGATACCACGGCTTCAGAGTTTAGATATCATAGAACCATATAGATTATGGTACATCACAGTTTCTATAATATAGTATAGATTTTAGAGATAATATAAACTTATTACCAACTATTAATCTATATCTATCCTTAGTTAATCTGCATTATTTTGAGTTTATGTTTGTGGGTAAATAACACAATAAAGATATCCTAAGACTTATCTAAACAAGTCGACTAAAGGCATCTTTATAGTATACATGTATGTAGTCTAGAACTCAGGAATCAAGATTCAGTAAACTAGTATCAACTGTAGTATACTACTACAATATATACCCATGTAGCTACACATGTCTGATGTATGTTTAAATTATGAAAAATCATCTGAGTCCACAGTGAAAAATTTGTAGTTCCAAATGATTTTTTAAGACCAGATCAATACTAGAGAATGCAATGAGCAAAGAAAAGATTTCGGGTATGATTTATTGTTACTATTAAAAATCAAATAATATAAATAATACTATTATTTTATAACAACAGCATGCTCTTTGAAGGTTCTTTCATTTACTAAAAAAAGTTTATAGTTTTTTATAAGTGTTCATGCATTTATATATATTTAATTACAATTCATAAACTTAACATTGTTTACTATGCAAATGTGTCCCAAGTTTTTATATTTAAATGGTTTTAATCTACTTTCCAGACTAAATATTTTACCAGTAAAATGTAATTTCATACATCAAAGAAACCGAATATAAATAAATACACATATTGTACAAAAATGATGATCAGTCTAGTTCTAGTTAACTCATTTTTAGACATAAATGGATACATTATTATTATTAACAATTAAAATAAAAACTATCTTATGTGTGTTGTAGATAGTGTATCTGTACTAATAGAACTTATAGAAGTATCTATTCATTGTATACTATACGCAAGAAAAATATATCCTGAAGGTATTTTTGAACTAAAGAAGAAATACAATGTACCTGTGCATGTAAGTATATGTTTTTTTTATAATAACTATTTCAGTATTTTATCATATGATTTTTAAGGTTTCTGTTTATCCAAAGTTGAATTCATATATAAATGGTACACTCAATGCTGTAAAAAGTCTATTGAAATTAAAAAAAATGTGCAAATTGGATGTTAGTTTTTATAACAAGATTGGAGTTGTAGTTGAACGCTTTGTATTAAATATTCATAATGTTGAACTTGAATTGAATTTATCAGATTTTTCGTAAGTATTTATTATAAAATAATTATGTTAAATTAATATATATACATTTTTTTTTTTAATTAGGAATTTAAGGGATCCATATTTAGTAAAGTTAGAACAAATGTTGAGAGCTTTCTGTTTAAAACTAACAGTTTGTGATTCCCTGTTGAAGCCTTTACCTTCAAGTTGTACATTTCAGATTCACATTCATACAACTGAAACAAACTCCATTGAAATTCAAAAAGATACAGAAGTATGTATTTATAATTTTAATTGGTTTATCGTTGCTCAGGAGAAAGTAAAAGTAAAAGATTTAAGTTTTTTTAAGCACTATTTTGGGGATGGGAATGTGCTTCCAAAATTGAATAGAACCTTTTTTAAATTAAAAATATGTATAGATAATCGCTTAACAAATTAACATTTCAGTCTTAGATGATTTTTTTTTGAAAATATTTTTATACAGTGAGTTTTGCTTAATATGGTCACATTGGTCCAAGCTATTTTGATTCCATAAAACATTTTTTCAACTTGTTGTTGAAACTTAATGAAATTTATTTAACATGGAATGGGAAATTTTCAAAGCTTATGCGGCTTCTCATAGTAAACATTTTCTTTACTTATCAAAATATAAGAGAAAATAATCTTTTTTCCTTTTATTGTTAAATCTTTCCTTTTGATCAGCATTTAAGAAAAATGTTTCATCACAATCTACAAAAAACTAATGACAAGAGTATACTATGAACAAAGTTAAACGAACGACAGGATGAGCATCGATAGACTTTCACACTAATAAGTTCAAAAATAAAATTAGTCTTATAAACTAATTAGTTTGAAATATCATAAAAACAATACAAATGTTCATAAAAGTGATTCAATTATCCGGTACATAGTGATTTTAATAAATAGTCAATTTAACATTAGTAACATAAGATTTGGTTTGGAATTTTCTTTTTTGATTCCAATAAATGGATCATTCTATAAACCAGTGATCACATTAAGTGGAACTCACTGTAGTATGAATACTAAAATAAAAATGTCATATTTTAAAACAATGAGTTTAACTCTTTAAGTTCACCTATTTATTCCCATGACATAATTGTACGGAAAATATTTTTGTAGATTTCACTTTATACTTGTTAGAAAAATTCATTAAAAACCATCTATTATCTAATGCATAATATTTTAATTTTTAGGGATTTCCATTAATACCTAGTGAAAAAAAAGATACAATTTTAACATCACCTGCAATAGTACCGTTGCGTAGTATTGACTGTGAACATTTAAATTTAGAAATCTATGCTGAAGAAGGAAATAAAGACGAAGACCCGGATTTATTTACACAAAGTCCATTAATTTAAATACACTCAATATCAATGTTGAATATTTCATGACAAAAATTATTATGACTATAGGATTATTAAACAGACCAGTTTAAGTATGTTAAATTTCACAAGATTTTTAGTATTATATTTGTTATATGATTATGTATTTATATATGATGTTGTTAATAATTTATTGAAGATCCTTCCCCTAAACTGGGTTAATCAAGGTATTATAGTTAGACAATTGAAGACAAACATTTAGAAAAGTATAATAAGGCCAGTAAGTAAAAACATAGAACATAATATTATTATAATTTAAAAAAAATATAACAGAAACGGCTGACTTTGGTATCTTATACAACTATTGCATTTAATTGGCCCCTCAAATTGTAAATTACTCCAATCAGTTAAATTAAAAAATAGACACTTGTTTTACATAAACAATTCAGTTTCAATAGTTGCTTGGAGATAAGAACCATTTTTTGCTGTTAATCATTCACTGCTAGTACTCATACAATTTATTATAAACAATTTCTTATTTTTCAGAAAATTCACTCATGAGTCATGAACCCCTTTTCCAAAAAATAATTTAGAATTTGAATTTGGGTACTTATAGGTTACATACCATTGATAATTATATAGTTTATTCTAAAAAAAATGTTAGTAACTGTTATTTGCAAAAATATAAAAAAAGTAAAAATTAAAAGCATTAATCATAAATAAGTACTAACTAGGCTAGCATTTCTATGCACTTGTGTGTTTTTTTCCTTGAGTCTAAATTGATTGGTTGTCAGGTATGTGCACGATTTGGATTATTCTAAATTAAATAGAACAACCTTTTTTTGAATATTTTGAACATAAAGCTCATGATTGCATGGTTTGATTTATGAAAATCTTATGAATTTTAAATGGTATTTATCTAATGAACATTAATAATTATTAGGTTATTTGTCGAATTATCTTAAATTAACCATCAAAAATCTTATCTAGGTAAAACGAGCGATAGAATTACCTATATATTATTTTTGTTTTTTATAAGAATGAGTTTAGTCAATATACATCCATTCATCGTTCTAATTTGCTCATCATTTGAGTTTAAAAATTTGAAGGAATATATCACATCAATATTTAATGCAGTGGTGAAAGTAGGGGCAGGGGGACAAAGCCCCCTTATTGAAAGCAAAATTATGCATCTGGCTTCAATTAAGTCCTCAGGGATGCCTAACAAAAAATGTATTAACGAGATATTTGATTTAAATTAATATTTGTCTTTTTAATTAAATATATTCATATACAACTAAAACAACTTCAAAATTTAAATAAAAACACAATATACACTATTTTTAATATTTCAAGCTATAAATTGCAATTTATTTTTACTGAGCAGGCGTAATATGTGTAGGTAGAGCCATGTTTTTTAGGAGGAAATTAATTTTTACATCCTACAATAAAATTTAATTTTTACGGTAAATTTAAACCTTTATAAATCCTCATCACATGATGCATAATATGTAATTATTTGATTTATGTAGTATTACAATTACATTACTATATAATTTATATTCAAATAAATAAATCAAAGAAATGTAATAAACTTATTTTTATAAAAAGAATTACCTCTACTATTTTACTTGATGTAAACAGTAAATACAAATTTGAATGATATTTGAATTTGTCCTGGATTAAAAAAAATCACATTTTTTCACTAATAAACTATATAATATAATCATTTTGAATTTATTTTGTACTTCATATCAAACAAGTCATTTTTCTAACACAATAAATTCAATCAAAAATACTCAAATGCATTATACTCAATGCTTCAATATTATACAAATTATTCAGCTCTCAAAGAAGTGACAAATTAAAAACTTATTAACAAACAATTTTCATTCAAATGTAATTTTCACTAATTTTATTATCATATTATGTTCATCAAATATAATATAAATAATATCACCTTGATACACTATGTTTTCATAATTAATATTGAATAGTAATTTCATAACTACTGTACCTTGTTGTTGAACTATTTAAATTATGACAAAATTGAATTGTTGACCTCGTATAAGAATATTTTTCGTGTGTTCTAATGATGTTCTATTTCAGTTTAACATTTGATGTATGTATATAGTATATTGCCTAAAACTGGTAGTAGGTACAAATATATTTAGGTCATACAAATAAATAACTGACAAAATATTTTATTAATTATAATTTATAATTATATTATATCCAAATAACAATTTTTTTTAAATAGAGAGCGACTTTTCCACAAAATCAATTTCATAATAATTCTAACATAGCAGAAAAATTATTATGATGCTAATTTATTTATTTATACATAAAGAAAAACATAAATAATTTTTATAAGCCAAATCAAAATGGTTGGATTTTTAAAATATAACAACATAAAAATCCTAATGATATTTTCAACCTAACAATAAATAATACAATACATGAGTTTAAAAAATCTGTATAACATAATGGTTTCTACTTTTATCCAACAAAAACACCAATTTAATCCAATGCCCATATTACTAATGTAAATTGAGGATAAATTTGTATTTGTGCCATAGGCTACAAAATTATCATTCAATATTTCTAAAAAATGTACATCCTGTGCAAAAACGTTGGTATATAATATTCCATAAATGAAAATTATACTAAAATAATATTATTTAACTATAAGCTTATAAATATATACTAATTATTTTTTATCATTTTTTTATTAGTATTTTTACCACAGTGAATATAAGTTTTCAATAATCACTGTAAATTATATCTACAGAAAAAAAATAATGAACGCAGGCAGGGAATTGGAATTTTGTAGATAATACATGTAAAACCACCACGTTTAATGATTTAAAAAATCCAAGTATTTGTGTTATATTTTAAATTTATATTCATATGTATAAACAATACATTTACATACGTCTTTACAGTCTCAACAATATATATTTTACATTTTTATGGACAAAATATAATAATCTATATTAGAACATTCTTTGTTATGTACAGCAATAAGATATATGTATATATTTATATTATAAAAAATTAAATTAAAAATAATAATAATAATAATAAAAAACAACATAATTCAACTATCTTAACAAACAAACAAAACATAATTTATACAAATTTTGTGGCATTATGGATAGAAATGAAATGATTAAGAATTGCTTTTAATTTACCAGATAATAGTTTAGAGTAGAAGACGTGAAAATGATTTGGCCCCAGACATAAAATGTAGTTACAGTTTTTTTTAGTTAAAGAAAAAATAATACTCAAGTTCTTCTAACAATCATTATAACAATATTAAAATACATGCTAATTTTAATTTTTTTTACAAAAGACAGAATTTTGAAGAATAATAGTTACAGAAGATTTCCATTCATATAAAGGTTAGTTTATTAAGCAATAACAATAATGACTAATAACTTTGATATTTTTACCATTTTAATTATTTAAAATGTTAAAGAAAATGTTTGGGAATCGGTAGTAATAACACAATAAATTTTAACCATTAATGAATTCTATTTGACTTAATGTGTTTTGTGGAATAATAATTTTAAAAAAAAACACTGTATATCCGTACATATATTTAGTCCATTTAACGAATGAAATATAAAATAATTAGACATGTATAAATTTATGATTGCAATACTGGGATATTCATTTTTACGCTGAATAATATAAAAAGTTTTTTTTTAAACTAAATTGTATAAAAAAATTTTAAAAAAAAACGTTCATAACTAATGAATTTAATTTATCAAAACTAATGATTTTTCTTTTCAAATGGGACTTACTAAATCTTTAATATTAAGTGTATTATGTTATATGAATACATAATATTTAATATTAAATTGTATGTGTAATTATAAGATATTTGTAAATTAAAATGTGCACCTATGTCTAAACAATATATAAATGTTAGTTTGAGGTTAGTAAGCATAAACTATATACTTTTTTGGGGAGAAAAGAAGAGAAAATGTTTTAAATTATATTGCTGCAAAAGGAATGAAATGTTTTTTGTTTTATGATATTTACATGGTTATGAATTTACGATAATATATTTTTATTCACTTGCCACTATTTGATAAAAATAAGTTCATTGAAAATAATCAATAAGGGAGGTAAATAAATGTGAGAGGTTACTCTACAAAAAGATTAATTTCCAAACAGAATATATTATTATATATGTATGTTGTATAAATAAAATTTACATAACTTAATATATTTAAATCTTTAAAATGTGCTTTAGGGAGCAATTTCGAAACAATTATTAAAAAAAAAAAAAACATAATACTAAAAATGAAGGTAAAGGTAACTAATCATTTATAACAAACATTAGAAAATATTTACAAAAAGAATTAGATTAACTAGAACATAACTTATTCAACTTACGACAATAATGGATAGTTATGGTTTTTGGGGTTTGTGTGCACATTTAAAGGTACTTGTGATAATTTAAACAGCTCTTGCTCATAAAAACAAATTTTTAGTTACAAAAATATAGAATTAATAAGTAAAAATAAAAATTATGTTTTAGAAGATTTATTTTATATTCCACTTTCTTCAAATAATAATAGTAAAAGAAAAAAAATGTCTTAAAAATTGTAGGAATGGTAATGCCGTCTTAAGCCTTAAATATATCATACATTGATATCACTGATAAAAAAACTGATAAGCATGTAGGCCATACACAAGTCAACTTGACGCATGCTTTCTACTTAATTTGCCTAATTGTGAATTGTTGGTTATTACCACGTATATTTAATCAACAAAATGGATAATTTAATTTTTATAAAAATGTTGGAATATATTTCTTATTTACTAAAATTATAATTTTATTAAAAAACTGTTTTTTAAATCATTGGATCATCTTCATAAATTTGTCAGAAAAAAAAATTGGTTGAATTTTTAAAATATAAGAAAAGTTTTTCATTTATTTTTAATTAAAAAAATGATGTATGAATAACTATTTTTTATAGGAATTTCATCTATCCATTAAACTTATGGTTTGAAACAGGTTCTTCATATTATAATTTAATTAAAATCATGATTAAAAGAACAATATTTGAATGATATAATGTCTTTAAGTCTAATACATTTATGTAAACATTACTAATTATAACATTTATAGTAAAACCATATATAGACATCAGCTACTGTTTTTAATTAGAAAGAAATAATACTGCTTGTACACTGTGGAGATAACCCACAAAATTACTCAAAGGGGCTTGACTTCTAACAGACACAGAATACAAATCTATAGACAAACATGATTTTATCTTTGACAAAATAAGTTAAATAGCATCCAAAGCCATATATTGTAATTGACTTATTACTTTAGAAATATATATAAAAACATGTAATTAACTTTATATTTATAATACATCTAATGGTTTTGAAATAAAATCTATAACATTATATAAAATTAAAGTGGACAAATCAACGAAAAAGGATATCAATATACGGTTATATTATGTTTTGTTTAAATTTTTTCTTGGAGAAAAATAATATGAAAAAATGTAATTTTTTTAATTTGTACTATAACTTAATATATCGGGCAGAATAATTAATAATAATATTTAAAAAAAAATAATAATATTAATGTAAATTTATAACTATCACATTGAACAACAATCTCTGAATTGTTTAAACATAACATGTAAAAAAGTAATAAAAAAAAAAATAAATAAATAAAAACAGTAAAAAAAAGAAATGGAAGGTACCTTAATGTTAACTTTAGCCGCCTCCATCTTCAGATTCTTGAGATGAATCAGGTTTATTAAGCTGTGCTCGTAATTCAGTCAATGAGTGACCTTTGTATAGCCTTTTGATGCCTCTAGGTAGGCCTCGGCAGGATGCTAAGTTCAAGGCGCTGAGACGGTGACAATTATTTAATACAGCTTTTACTGGTTCCAGACTAACAGACGAACCAGTAAGATCCATTTTTCTAAAAATAAATAAATATCCATACATAAATGTATATTTTACAAATTGTAAATAAGTTGTAGTAGGTACCTAAGCATAGATTTGTCTCCCTGTTCTGAAATTGCAAAAACAGCCGCATCCAGTATGGTAGTGTTGGTTGACCATGAGAGATCAATTTCTACGAGACTATGACTCCACTTTTTACATATCAGATCAAGGCCAGAATCCGATACTCGAGTAACAAAAGATCCTTAATAAAAACAATAAGAAATGTACATTATATAAAGAACCATTGCTAAACCATCAAAGTATTTACCTGATAAATACAGGTGGGTTAAATCCCATGCAGGTATCCTAACTAGACTTGAATCTGTTACTTTAGTACATCCTCTAACATCAAGCACATACAATTTATGCGAAGTTTTTAATATCCTTTCAAGGGCTTGATCATCGATAAATGGTTGTCCAGAGACATTTAGATCATTAGAAATTGTAGCAACGCTTAATTCTTCCAAAAGTGGAAAACCAGGAGATAAGGCTTGCTCATTTAATGGAACATTACTGAGACATAGTTGGCTAGTAGACATTCGTAGTACACGCAATTTTGGACATCCTTCTTGTAAACGTTCAATATGAAGATTTCCTGTATTACCAACCATCCGGACTTTAGTCAAATCCAAAGATTGAAGATTTGGGCAGTGCGTCTGAAATAAGAAACCATATATGCATTATAAGTATATATTACAATATATAACAATGATTTCTTTCAATAATAAGTCAGAAAAATTCCATAATAATTGGCAAACTATTAAATATATTAATAAGAGTCATTTTAGACAGAATTCAAAATAATAATGGTTATAAGAGTTACATAGAGATAAAATAATATGTTAGAAAAAAAAAGTTGACCAAAACTTACAAAAATGAAATAATTTGTATGACATCCGTATACTGAAATTATTACTGTATAACTTTATAGCCTTTTTTTTATAACAAAATAAGTTGAAGAACTATATTATTTAATATATTCCTGATAATTTTTCATACTTAATTTTTAAGAGGCACAATAAACCCGTAAATTTAAATATATCAATAACTTTGAGAAGTTATAAATTAAATATATTTTCAATACTTACAGCTAAAGAATTGACTAATTGAGTAATCCCCGAAAGACGATTATCGGCCAAATTTAAGTGTGTCAATCTTTGGCCCATGTGTTTTGTCAGGAACATCAGAGAGTTTAAACACACTCCACTTTTACCACTGCTATGTTGAGCCTAAATAAGTTAATATTCACTCATTAAAAAAAATTCAATAATAAATTATACTGATTCTTAGAGACACTGTTTAAGACATTATGGATAAAACTATTTATAGAATAGAATTAGTAAATCTATGGTTTGTATACTCCGTTCCAGAAGAGAATATACCAGGTGGCCATCTGTTTCTGCACGGTAACCCATATCTACCACATAACACCATAGGTAGTTACCAGTAGAAAGAGAAAAAGTATGCGGAACTGGTAAATCTCTTTTGGAACAGAGTATAGTTTTGATACATTGATAATACCTAAAAAATAATAATAAAAAATAAAATACATATATTTCATCCAGATGTATATCTTATCTTTTAATCATGAAAAGTGTTAATGTAATATTGTAGTTGTTGTTTTCTGGATTTATGTATTATCCGCTTAATGAGTCTTAAAAATAATACATTAAATGGATGATTTTTTATTAATGAGGTAAAATAGGCTAATTTCAACAAAATAAAATAAATTATATACTCTCTTACTATACTTGCAATATGTGAAATTTTAAACCATTCCACAACATATTAATATATCTAATTAAGATATATTTATTGTAAAGATTGGTATTAGTTTAACACATCAAGATATTTAATATCTAGGATTTTTATCTTTATATTTTTAAACTGTGTATATAGTTGTAATTTTTATTTATTTATCTAAGGTTTTGAGTAATAACAATGGTCTATATCACATTATTATCATTTTTTTTTTTGTATCAAGCATACTTTATTAAACTATCAGATACCTACATGCAGCGTAAACCTATACGTATCTCCAAAAAATAATTGTGACAGATTACTGAACAGACAATTCTTTATTTTTATTGATGCCAATATATTGTATTCATTTTGTATATGACCTACAGAGCCAAAATCAAGTTTAGTATGTGACTGACTCACCGAGACGATTATCTATATTATGTATGGACAACATACAGGTACCAAACTAATTATGAGGAAGATACCTACTTATTAAAAAAATTTTAAGTGATACTTTGTATAATAAAATAATTTGATGTATTGAATATTTTTTTTACATATTGCTGTAAATGTATGTGAATATTGTCATACATTTTTTTAATGATATTTTGTTTGATTTTAACATAATTAAATATAATCTTATACTGTTTTATATTTTTACTACTAATTAATTAATTAATAATAATAAACTAACATAATTTTATGGTTGTTAATTTCACTAAAAATACTGAATGATTACCCAATACAGTAGGACATGTGTGTCTGGTAGGTCTCATATTAAACGAATACCAAAAATTACAAAGTGACAGTATAATTTGATTGAAAATTAAATTCAAAAGTTAAATAAAATTGTACATTTCATTATTACCTATCTTTAAGTTTCATTAAATGGACAATACATAAATCAAAATCATGATGATTGTATTACGCATAATACGTGTACAAAAGTACTTTTTATGATGGCATAATGTAAACATAAAATAAAATTAATTTGACAAACCATATATAAATGTATATTGTATTTACATAAAATAAAATGTCTTACATTTATTCCCGATAAATCTATTCGTTCCAGTTTGTGACAGTTGGTGATGATAAACCGAACATTATCCAAACTGAGACCTTCCCAACCTGTCAAACTCAATCCTCGTAGATCTAAGCATGAGGTGCTAATTTTATCTAGTATAACAGGAATGCCAGTAAACTGCCAACCACCTAAAATTATTTTAAATTTAATTATTAACTATCTAGTCAAATAAGATAAATTTTAAAGTAATTACCTAAATTGAGTTCCTGTACTCTGGCAAGTCGGTTTTCACAAAGCCATCTAAAGTTAATATCATTCCTTATAGGATTTTTTGAAACCCATCGTCCGGCTAAGTCAATATTAGTCCAAAGTAATGGATCAGACGCAACCATACGCCAAAACCTACACACCTGAGACACTCTGTAAAATATACATTTGTAGTAAGTTTAGATTAATTTAGCATTTTAAAGTTTTGATAAGTTTTTTTTTATTACCTGACAAGAAACGGAATGCATCCTTCATCTTTAGTTGCTAAACGAAAAATTTCAAATAGTATAGGTTCTGGTAGTTGATAACCCCATAAACTTTGTTCAGCTGGTTCATCACATTGCATTGTTTTACTTTCATCTGATTTCTTCCTACTTTTTCGTTTCTTTTTTTGTGGCATAGCAGTTAATGATATTTTTAGTTTAATACCACCATTTTCAGCAATTTCACTATGATACATTGAGCCTGCGGGTGGTTTTTTTGGCTTAACTGGTTTGTCTTTGGGAGCAGAACGTCGTTTGCGAGGTTTTCCAGATTTAGTTAGGGTTACACCTTTGACAATTGCAGATTTTGGTATAACTGATGGTGGAGTAATTAAAGTCTTGGGAACCTCTCCATTAGTAATAATTGGAGTAGGTTGAGGTTGTATGATTAAAGATTCTAAATCAACTCTAGGTGAACATAAATCACTTGATACACTTTCAATTGATCGTGGATTTGTTTCTACAGACCGCTCACTGCCAGTCCTTTGTGTAGTAGCAGGACTAATGACACTGTCACTTAAGCTAGAATTTTCTCCGTTGCACATAGGTGATGCACTAAGAGCTCCTGCACCTGGACTATCAGACACACTAACAGGTGTAGGGAAGCTGGCAATAGTTGGAGATATACCAGGAGAATACTGATCATTTCTTATTTGCCTATTACTAAAATCAGGCAAGGTTGATGGTCCTGTATTAACTGAAGGTATGAAGGTGTCTACATGATTTGTCATTGTAGAAGGGTCAAAGCCAGGAAGTGGTAAGACCGAAGAACTTGTGTCCATTGAATTAAAGTTGGAACTTAATGGTTGAGGGTTGTAATTAAAAGCCATCGGTGAAGGATTTGGCGTTAGTACAGTATAACCACCATAAGAATCATTCATAAAATTTGAGTTATCCTTATTAAAACTCTGACTCAGTAACTGATTTGAGTCTAATCGGTTTCGATATACATCCTGTATCATGTTATTGTTAGGATGCAACATGTTATTGTATGATAGTGGATCAAAATTTGGAACATGAAGTGGTGGATGATGAGTTGTTTTATCTTGATCCAATAAAAACTGTTTAAGACATTCATGATCTTGGTCTATTTCCAAATGGGAAAATAGAGATGGATCACTGATAAAACAATTGTTGCTATTATCCATTTCACTCGGCTTCAGCAATGGTATGTTAAAATTATCCATTTACATACAAAACAATGGGAAATAAATCCACAAAACCTCGTTGATCCATTAAGCAAAGAATCATTCAGGTAAATGATGTAATAGGGCTGCCCTATTTGAGGCTAGATTCCTGAAAAATAAAATATGATAAACATATTAATACCAAAACGCCATAATAAAAAATCAATATATTATGAATTAATATTATAAAAAGTTAATAAAATTTCAGACAAACTTTAAAGTTAGGTATTAGTTAATTTTTAAGTTAAATAACATAGTGAAAATATCCTCATAGCAGACACCTTAGAAACATTAAAAATCGCCTGCTAATAAGAAATATCAACTACTGTGGATAATACCAATAATTTGAAAAATGTAAATTACACCTACCCATAATATAAAGTACCTATTTAAAAATAATCCCATATTAAAGAATTTATTTCAAGTAAAACATTATTTGGATAGTTGTCCATAGTACCGAGCGCAAATGTACCTATATCCATAATGGAAACTAAAATTATAATGGTTATGATTTAAATTGATTGATGCCTTTATGGCATAGAATTGTTAAATACTATATTACTACATAACTATTACTACTCTGATTAGTACTTATAAATGTAGCATAGGGATATTAAACATAACAAAAATCAATACAGAAATAGAAAGGATTAAGGTCTGCACACATAGCTGAGATGGCACAAAAAGTCGAACACAATTAAACAGTTCTAAAGTTATATTTACATTTTATACGTATGACTGCAGTGTCTTTTACTAAAATTATTATTATTTGGAAATTAATATATAAGAGTACTACTATTAGTACGACTAATAGGTTCCTTCAACTTAACATTTGATTAATTCAATACGATCAGATTGGAGAGTTAAAACAATACTAAGAAAACAATCTAGATCAATACTACTAAAATTAGAAACCCTGATTTCACTGGTAAAATACTATTAGGTATAGAATGTTTGTCAAAAATAAATATAATGGAAACATCCAAACTAATGTGATGAGAAAATCTTCCAGAATCTCTGAGTGTGCATACTGAAGAAAAGAATTGGGAGAGGTGAATCTTAAAGAAGTAAAAACACTTTCCTACATGACAAAATAAAAACTTGAAAACAATTTGATGGAGATGGCAGACACACAAAATGGAAATACAAGAAAAAAACGAATAATGTTACGGCCAACATACAAGTTATTATAATAGGTACCTAATACTATTAAAATATTAAAGAATATCATGTAGGCATGTAGCAAAGCTCGATAGTCTCAGTTAAATTAAAATGCCCCACACAAACACACATTTTTGACAATACTCAATGCTGTGTATACTATTATTATACTATAATATAATATTATATGAATATTGATTGCGGTGGGGATGCATGGGAAAGGGGAGGGAAGAAACCCGATTCCGCGGAGATATCATCAATCGCAAGCTTACATCGATGGGACGGCGGTAATAGATACGGATGTCCGGAGTAAATACGGTTCGGTAAACGGAAACAGACGGAAGACAATCCAAACATAAACCTCGGTGGTCACGAATCGACGAATCCCCCCGGCCGAGGGGTCGTAAACGTAACAACAATATAAATATACGACTACGACGTCGGAGACAACCGTGGCTGGCCACCTATACGTCACGTTATCACTCACTTTCCTGTCCGTGGCTGTTATCACGGGCTAGTAATACAGTATAACAATTACACCAACTAACACACACACACACGCATACACCGTATTTAGGACATGATAATATCTTAGGAATGAAGTATAATACTGGCTTTCCCGACGGTTCGCGAAACGGGCCTAACCATGACATAAACTGGGTCATCGGAATAATGTCTGGACCCAAGTTGTTGTGACTTGTGGCCCATTGACGGTGACGGCGGACGAGAGGATAGCTGGCTCCCCGTCATCATACGTGTGCCCCCTCTAAAGTATCTGAAAAAAGAACGCAAACACCACCTCGCAAAAAATGTAGCACTCACCGATAATCGGCACACACGGTGGCGCTCCTTGTCCCAAGTTTTTGACACGATCGTATACGGGTGAAGGAGGCGGCGGTGACTGCGACGGCCGTGTACTGCGGCGGCGGTCGCTCTCTCTGCTCCGTGTATCGATCTAACGCGACGCGTTAACGACGATGGCGTCGGTCTTATTTAGGAGCGCGCGAAACGCAAATGGTCGGTGACCGGCTGCGGTGGACGTCATCGGCAAAACGGCGGATACCCAGGAAAGACGGACACCACGGGAGCAACAATTATCGCGTAACGCGTACCAGAACACACATCTACACTGCTACGGAGTGCGGACGAACATCCACTGACCTTCGGTCGACGGCAGTGAGAAACAAACTAATGGGCTATTGTCAAAACGAAACGCTCATATGATTGGCTTAAAAATAAACTTTCCACTGCAGTGTCGCCAACACGCTTTCCGGCTGCTGGCCGCACCGTCAAACGAACTACCGCCATAGACACTCTTGGCTCTTCAATCATCACCGTATTATTCGCACCATAGTCCATAGATAAGTATAATATTTCGCACTTTGCCACAACCACCTCAGTCACCACCGTCACCACCACCACGGAACCACCAGGGGGCAGCGACCAGTCACCACTACAATTACCTGAACCCGCGACACTTGTCGCTGATGCCAATGTCAATTGTTAATATGACAATATTATATTTAATACTTTAAATCATTTTCAAGTTTCAACTTGAATGGTTTCTGATGGGAAATTGAAACTAGATTACATTTTTGAAATTTAAAAATTTAAAAATCCTCAGAACTTTTATAACTAAAAATTCTAATAAAAGGAACAACTAGAGAATTTTTACGCGAAATTCGTTTTCGACAAAATCCTTTTGATGTAACTCAAAAACTATTTTGACTCATTTTGAACAATTTTTAGACATTTTAAACTTCCAAGATTTTAGAATTTTTCTATAAATATCAATAAATATGATTTTGTTGGGCAATAAGTAAAAAAATGTATTACATGGTTCCTAATAAGTTGTTTTTCTAGCAGTTACAATGTACTAAAGATAGACAGGCAATTGTTTATAAGCATTTAAATTTCAAATTTTGACAAAACTCATCAAAATCTCGAAAATGTTGCAAATTATTTTGTAGGTACTTAAAAATGTATAACATTTTCAATGTTTATAGCTAAAGATTGAAAATTGAAAATTAAGTACTTACTAATAACTTTTATATTTGTTGTATTAATTTATGTCATTAACTCAAGCCTTAATTTAATAACTCATTGCTTCTGGTTAACATAATTGTTGAATAATATTGTTCTAGATATAGAGCATAGGCAAGTTAGGTATAGCCAATTTCAGTGATCACTAATACATAATCACGATTCACTATTATAGTATAGTATTATCATATTTATACATTATAAAATAGGGTAACTCCGAACTTACAGCAGAGTAATTCGAACAAAACAGTTTGTAATATACAGGGTGATCCATTTAAGAGGGTACACTAATTATCTTAAAAAGTATTAACTTTTTTTTTTAACTTTTAGATTTATACTTTTCGAAAACTGAATAATATTTTCCATCCTTATATTTATTGGCGAAACCACTGTCAACTTTTGATTTTCAAATGGGAACATAATATTAAAAGATCATATATTGATAAAACTATTTTTATTATGAATTTTCGCATTAAAATTTTTATTTTTCGTTATTTCGTTGGCGAGATACAGTTCCTCAAAGTTTGGTGCTTTAAGGAGGTGTATTATCTGCATTATTGGCGGTAGCGCTACAAATATCCAGTTATCCAAATAACCAGTTTTCTATTAATCATTTGTCATAATTCGGTATGTTTAATTAGTCGATAGGCTAATAAATTATTTAGGTTCAAAGTACAAAAGTTATCACTTATTAATTGTTACCTTGGTTGAACAAAATCGAATTCATCACTTATAGGCTATAGCTCCTGGTCTTTATACCATCACCTTCACATAATATTAGCAGCCTGTCTATTGTCGCACACTGGCACTTATCAAACATGTAACTAATTTAAATTGTGTTATCACTGATTAATTTAGGTATTTATTGTATTTTTGTAAATAAGTTGTATTTTAAAATGTAATTTAACTATTACACTACCAAAAAAGTTTTGTTAATATTTTGACCCTGATGTATTTAAGTTAAACCACTAATTTAATTTGTTTGATTTTTATAGGTTACCTACTCTATTTTCTTAGCGGGATATATTTTTATAGTGTGGCCTTAAATCCTAAGATCTTATTTTTTCTTTTCAGTTGCCACGCTTAAAAAGTTTAACTTCAATTAATATCATACACAAATACATGGTAAATAGCTACACGATTGCTATGCAGCTTAACCACGGCAGTTCCAAGTGCCTCAGACTTTTTTTTTATTTACTTAAAAAGTACGCGGCAGGACCGCGAATTTTCGGAACCGATATTCAAACTAAAATAGCATTATAAACATATTCACTATGACCTCTAATCTGATAAAATTGTTTAATTTAAATTTAAATTATGATTGAACAAAAAATATTGATTTATTTTTTATAAATAATTTATTAAACAAAAATAAATAAATGATCACAAATTTCAATTTTCATTCTCCATATTATTATGCATTTTTGATATAATGTTACTATTAACTAAGAAGTAAAAAATAAAAATTCAGTATTTAAAATATTTAACAGTAAAAAGTAAAAAAAAAAATATTTCTAAACATCAATGTACTAAGATTTATTAATATTTAATTACATATATTTTATAGCATTAATATTCAGATTATGAATGACAAAACAATGTTATGTGTAAATTTAATTTTAAAATATAAATAAACAAATATTTTATATTTATAAATATATAATTAATATTAATGAATATATTACATCCTCACTTGAAATTTGCCAGCTTTTGTTATGTATTTAACACCTTTAAATGGTTTATATTTTTCACCATACATATCAAGACGATTCACCTTTAGTCCAGATAATGCTAAT